TCACTGGCTTGGTCCAGCCCTGGTCAACAACCTCTCCTTCTGCCACTCTGCCTTTCAAATAAACAATTAATAAGTGAATCAGTTCTATCTCTATAAATCAATAATACCAATATGTAGCTTAAAGACGTAAGTTATGATGGAATCAAAAATACCAGATATCTGTTAACAAACATAATTATAGGTACACACCCTACATAAAGTACAGAGTATTATATAAAGTCATTTCATGTTCATATATTATAAAGCTAATACAAGAAAGGTGTCATTTCCTCCCCACAATGGTCCACAGGTTGATGCAATACTAATTAAAATCCCAGCACATTTTTGGAAGATGTTGCCAACTGGGTTCTGTGGTTTATCTGAACATGCAGAGGGCCAACATGAAGGGAAACTTGAAGTCAAAGGGTTGAAGGAGCAGCCCTCAAGGCACGTTACAGCACTGCGACCACGGGTCTCCGCCACGGGCAGGGGAGTCCAGGAACAGACCAGCACGCTGCAGTCCCACCAACACACGGCACTGGGCTGACCGGCTCCACGTGAATAAAGACTCTGGGGTGGGCTACACTGGGGCCCAGGGAGCCTCCCCAGGCCAGGCACAGCTGGCTCCCTGGGCCGGCTGCGGCACCTGCTGTGTGGAAGGCCAACAGTGACGTCACTGTCAGCGAGCGGCACGTCCTTCCGCCTCATGCTGGCTTCGGACACGTCAGCATCTCTCGGGGACCAGAGCCTGAGGGCGTGTGGTCTGGCCTCGGCCACCCACGGCATGATCAGGACACCCGTGGACTCTTGTGCCAAGAAGCCAGCTGCTCAGAGCAAGGCTGAAGCCGCAGGGACACCGGCGCCTAGTGGATGTTCTCCGGCCCACGGGGGATGCGTCGGACGGGAGAGGGCTCCGAGCCCCGGGCGGCCAGCGGAAAGTAAGAGCAGGAGGTGTGGGGCATCCGTGCCCTGTGGCAACCCTGACCTGGAGCTGGAGACCCCTGAGGGCGGAATGAAACGGGACGGGAGGCAGCCAGCTCAGCCTGCTCACCGACACATCTATCAACCAACAGAGCGACCCCTCCTCCAGACCTGCTTCCCTCGCGGGGACCTCGGGCGGACGTCATCTCCCTTCCCAAGACCACAGGAAGACGGGCAGCTTGGTGGGCAGCGGGCAAGCACGCTCTTCCACAGAAATGTTCCCCTGTCCCACCTTCCACCTCCAGACTCCCCAAGGACCAGCCATCTCCTCACCTTCTGAATAACACTTAAATCCGTCAAAATTATCACACACACACACACACACACACACACGAGACACAGCCCGTGCCTCCCAGCATGAACACGTCAACCTCAGACGGCAGAGAGGGGGCCGGGGCTGTGGCACAGCGGGCCAGGCCTCGCCGCAGCGCCAGCATCGCAGCGGACTGCTGCTCAGAGTCCCGAGGGCCGCTTTCTTTCCTGTTTGTTTTTCTTAAAGATGCGTTACACAGAGGAAGATCTCTGTCCACGCCCAAAGTGTCCACAACAGTCAGAGGGGATCAATCAAAGTCAGGAGCCGGGCGCTCCCGCCAGGCCTCCCCACAGGTGCAGGGCCTAAGAACTGCGCCGTGTTCGGCTGCTCTCCCAGGCCACAAGCAGGGAGCTGGATGGGAAGTGGAGCAGCTGGAACATGAACCAGTGCCCATGTGGGATCTGGGTGCGTGCAAGGTGGGGATTTAGCCACTAGGCTACTGCAGCAGGCCCTGGTGCTCCACTTTGAATCTAGGTTTCTGTTAACATCCCTGACCTGCATGGGAGCCTGAGGCAGAGGTCACGGCTCCTGGCTTCAGGCAGACCTAGCTCCGGAGCGAGCCAGAGCACAAACGACATCTCTCTGCCTGTGTCCCTCTCCAGCTCTGCCTTCAAACAATAAATCTCTTCAAAAAAAGGAACCAGAACAAAGCGACGCACAGCTTTGTCACCAGCAGAGCGCTCGGGGCTGTCCTGGGGAACTCGGCCTGGCTGACTTCCTCCACAGTCCCAGAAGGACTGGCCAGCCGCACCGCACTGCGTGGAAAGGCCACGAGGCAGGCACACACACGACATGACCACCGACGTGTTCCCACACACGTATCCTCAGGTGTCACCTACAGCCACAAATGGGCAACAGACACCCAAAAGACTGAGCGGCACAGCGGGCAAGCTCCGCCCCTGCGTGCGCACCACAGCCGCCCAACCCGCCGACAATGACACTACACGCTGGAGAACACACGAGGTGGCAGCTGCTGGCACAGGGGGTACAGACCGGCACAAGTGCCTCACTCTGGCAGGGTCCATCAACCAGGCAGGGACAGAAACAGGCCTTCACTCACCCGTCCCACCCATCACTGGGCCTCCAACAGACACGCATCCGCACAGACCTGAATGTGAGCAGACCACAGAGGGCACTGCGCACTGCACACCCAACACCATGCCTCGCCTCCGGGCCAGGGGCCAGAGCAAGGACGACCAGACAGCCCTGGGGACAGAGCACGGACGACCGGGACAGCCCGGGGGCCAGAGCACGGACAACCGGACAGCCCAGGGGACAGAGTGCGGACGACCGGGGCAGCCGGGGGGCCAGAGTGTGGGTGACCGGGGACGGCCCTCGAGGGACAGAGTGTGGATGACCGGGATGGCCCCAGGGACAGAGCGTGGGTGACCAGACAGCCCTGGGGACAGAGCACGGAGGACCGGGACAGCCTGGGGGACAGAGCGCGGACAACCGGGACAGCCCTGGGGACAGGGCACGGACAACCAGACGGCCTGGGGACAGAGCGCGGATGACCGGACAGCCCTGGGGACAGAGCGCAGACGACCGGGACAGCCCTTGGGGGACAGAGCGCAGACAACCGGGACAGCCTGGGGGACAGAGCACAGACGACCGGACGGCCTGGGGGACAGAGCGCGGACGACTGGACAGCCCTTGGGGGACAGAGCGTGGGTGACTGGACGGCCCTGGGGACAGAATGCGGACGACCGGACAGCCCAGGGGACAGAGTGTGGGTGACCGGGACGGCCCTCGAGGGACAGAGCGTGGATGACCGGGATGGCCCCAGGGACAGAGCGTGGGCGACCAGACAGCCCTTGGGGGACAGAGCGTGGGTGACTGGACGGCCCTGGGGACAGAACACAGATGGAGAGAATCAAGAGACAAACCAACAGCCTGCTGTCGCTGCGCAGGCGCAGATCGCAGCCCCTGAAGGAGGCGGGCGGCGGGCGGCGGGCGGGCGGCGGGCGGCGGGCGGCTCCAGGAATCCCAGGTGTCCGTTCCTCTTCTGCTGCTGCCTAACCCACTCTTCCTCTAACCAACCCACTCGCCGACACCCAACCTGCTCCCACAACCAACCCATTCCCACAGCAGCAACTAGATCATGCCACCATAACTAACCCGCTTCCATAACCAACCCACACCTAACCTGCTCCGGCAACCAGCAGGCTCCCATAACCCGCTCTCTCGAGAACAGACATGCTGTGACAACGCACTAACATGACACTATCACTAGATCAAGGAGGGTACAGCCCCACAGCCAGTGGACCCCTCATGCCCCCGCAGCCCAGCATTGGCGGGTGGGGACAGGCCCACGCCACGGCCCAGAGTCGGCAGGTGGGGACAGGACCCATACCACGGCCCAGCATTGGCAGGTGGGGCCAGGCCCACGCCACGGCCCAGTGTTGGTGGGTGGGGACAGGACCCACGCCACGACCCAGCATCGGCAGGTGAGGATGGGCCCCACGCCACGGCCCAGAGTCGGCAGGTGGGGACGGGCCCACGCCATGGCCCTGGTGATGCACAGCTTCCGGATGTGTGGCACCTGAGCAACTGCGTCCACTTTGTGACGAGATCGCCAAGACTCACTTCCTGCCAGGCACTGTGTGTCGGCGAGGTTTTCCAACGCACACTCTGACCTGCTCATCTGGTCACACAGTCGCCGAAGACGCCAGATTCCAGGAAAGAAGGAACAAGTTCATGGGCTGGTTCCTACAGGGCTGCTGCCGCAGGCCAACTGTGGCCCCGACTGTGCCCCACGCCCCCGACTGTGCCCCATGTCCCACGACTGTGCCACACGCCCCACGAGCATGCCCCATGTCCCACAACTGTGCCCCGTGTCCCACGACTGTGCCCATGACTGTGCCCTGTTCCCACGACCGGGCCCCGTGCCCCACGACCGTGCCCGTGCCCCACGACCGTCCCCGTGCCCCCTTTCCAATAACGGCCTTAGCAAGTGCAGGAATGACCCACTGCTCTACGTGTCCCTTAAGTGACACGAAAACAGATACAACAACCACAAACTACCAAAAAGTTACAAACAGTACTAGGAGACAGGCTGGCCAGTTCCTGAACACCTGTCCGCATTAAAACCTGACGGGCAACCACCCCGGTGATTCGAAAAAAACTAGATTCCACCACAGCTGCCGACAGCTGCCGACAGCCTGCCTGTCTCGGAATGGCTGCGGTGAAGAAACACACTGAGACGCGCACAGCCGCCGACACACCGTGGAGGCACCTGCCGGGGACCTGACGCGGCACCCGCATGGCGACCGTCTCCCATGCTGCCCTGGGTGCCCGCCCTGTTCTCCGCACACGTAACACCTGCCCTGAGACTCCCACTGCCCTCCACAGGAAGCGGCTGAAGACAGCACACTGAGAAACAGCAAGTGCCCCATCTCCCAGAGCGCCGTTCCTTGGCCTCACCTCCGGCCTCACCTCCGTCTCCTGGCTCCCCAGAGGCATGACCCAGCCGACACGGGCAAGGCCAGCCCTGCCGCGCAGCTGGAAGCTCCGGGCTCCAGTCTGCACGGACGGCTGGAAGGCACTTTGGCACGTTCCCCAAGATGTGCCCAGAGCAATGGAGTGCTCCCCCACCCCGGGCTGCGGGCTTCCAGCCGGCCACCCCCCACACCGCACGTGCCCACAAACATCAGAGGCCGTCCTTTCCTAAATGGCGGACACGCAGCCCGCAGCCCCAAGACATCCCGAAGGCCCTGGGTGGCCGTACCTGCGGGAGGGCCGTGTTGAGCTGTCTCTGCAGCGAGTCCCGCTCGTGGCCAACCTCGTGCAGCTTGCCCTGGGTGAGCGCCAGCGTTTCCTGCGTCTCCCGCAGCGTGTCCAGCAGACGGTCTCTCTCTTCCAGCATGGAGACCATCAGCTGCTCGAAATGGGATTCGGCGTCCGGCTGGGAAGGGGAGCCGGTCCCGTGGCTGCCAGCGCCGCCCGGGGGGCCCTCGGCCTCGTTGATGGTCGGCATCACCTCACACATCATCTAAGAAGCAAAGAGCCAGAGGCGTCAGGGGGCGGCACGACCCCACAGGTGTCCCTGGCTGACAAGCCCGCGGCCAGGGTTCAGCGCCAGGACCCCGCAGCGCGCAACGACGGCTGAGCACCTGCGGGCCCCTTTCTCGGTGCTGAGCCCCAAGTGCGCTTCTGTTCCCTCATTTTTGTCATTACGATTACTTTTTCCTGTTTTCCGGCTGGGGAAAGAGAAAGGCAAAAAGAAGCAGTGCACTTTGCCGGCAAAGCAGAGCGGGAGGAAGAGGAGGACGGAGAGGAGGCGGCGGCGCGCACGGCGAGCAGGACAAGTCCCAGAGCGCATCCCGCATCTCCCGGGGAACATGGGCGGCCACGCTCCCCGAATTCTTGGGCTGCATTTGGCCAGCACTCCCGGGAACCGGGCTCCGGGAAGGGCTGGGAGAGGTGTTTTCTGCACGTACAGCCCCGCGGAGGAGGAGGAGGCGGCGGAGGCGGGTGGGGGGTGTGGAAATTCCACAATGGAAAACAGGGCCAGGCTGGAACGGAGGGGGAGCGAAAGGTGAGAAGCTGTTAGGTGTCCCCCGCAGGACCTCGGGGCCCGGTGACACCGGCTCCCGGCCGAGGAGGAGCCCGGCGGCGCCGCTCCGTGACCTCTAAGCGCTCCGAGCCGGGAAGCCGCCCGCGCGTCCGAGCGCGCAGCCCCCATGGCCGGCCCGAGCGCGGGGCTCCGCGGCCCGCACCCGGCTCCCCGCGCCCCGCAGCCGGGCGCCCGCGCCGGCGGCCCCGCGCCTCACCTTGCTCGCCGGCGGCTGCGGGCGACGAGGCTCCGGGGGCCGACCCAGGCAGCTCGCGCCCGCCCCGCGCCGCGGCCCCGGGGCCCGCCGCCCGTCGGCCGGACACTGGCCGAGAGCGCAGGAGGAGCGGGCCCGGCGGCGCGTCGCCGGCGTCAACGTGCCCGACGTCCGGCGCGTCGGCGTGGCGTCAGCGCCGGCCCGGGGAGGAGGGGGCCCGCCAGCGCGCAGGCGCCGCCGGCCGCCGGCCGCTGATTGGCTGCGCCGGCGGGAGCCCCGCCCAGGTGTGGCTCGGGGCCCGAGCTGCAGGTGGGGAGGCGCGGTCCGAGGTGGGCGCTCCCGGGCTGGTGCTGGGTTCCTGCTGCCCACAGGGAGGAGGTGGACGGGAGCCGGGGGCGAGCCGGGGCGTGGCCTGGGAGGCAGGGGCGAGCCCGGTCACGTCCTGGGGCGGCCGGGGGCTGCATGGGACCTAGCCCGGTCGGCCTGGGACTGCCTGGGGCGAATCCAGTCCCGGCCCAGGAGCCAGGGACCAGCCCGGTGTCGGCCTGGGAGGCAGAGGCGAGCCCGGTCACGTCCTGGGGCTGCGTGGGGCCTGTGGTGGCCTGAGGCTGCCGCCTTGCTGCTGTCCTGACCCGGGCGCAGGGAGCGAGCTGCGGCTTCGGGCGCCAGTCCCAGCCCCACTGCTCCCCAGGGCAGTGGAGAGGACGCAGGGTCCCCACCACAGCCGTCTCTGGCCAGCAGCGTTGGGTTTCTAGGCTCCTGGGAGAGCTCCACCCATGCTGTCGCCCAGGGCCCTGCTGGCTGGCAGAACACACCGAACCCTCAGGGCATCACTGCCCGGCCCCGCTGACCACTGGGTGCTGCTGGGGCACTGAGCTGAGAACCGGGGCTACGGTAGGGCGATCCCCAGCGGACAGCTTGGCTCCCTGTGTAAGCTGGTCAAGAGCAGGAACTGCCTCTCAACGTCTCCTCCCACCAGACTCCCACACGTCTCCGTCCACTTGTGGGCCTCTGCAGCACCATTCTCACTTGATGAAGATTACAGAATTTGTGGCTGGCACTATGGCATGATAACCCTAACCCTGCAGTGCAGTGCTGGCATCCCATATGGGAATTCCGGCTGTCCCACTGCTGCTCCAGCTCCCTGCTTGTGGCCTGGGAAATCAGCAGAGGACGGCTCAAGTGCTTGGGGCCCTACACCCACATGGGAGACCTAGATGGAGCTCCTGGCTCCTGGCTTTGAACCAGCTCAGCTCTGGGTGTTTGGGGAGTGAGCCAGCGAATGGAAGATTATGTCATTCTTTCTGTAAATCTGTGTATTTACGACTCTGGTGGTCACCAGGCCTCCTTCCAGGCCGTTAACCTAAACAAAAGAATAAAAATGAAGGTGACCCTGGACTCGGCTTTGCCAGGAGCCAGACTTCTCCTTTCCCTGTGGACAGACCCAGCAGGCATGTTGCATCTCTGTGAGGCCCTGTGAGCTGGAGCTGGATTCTGTGGTGGCCGGTGCCACGTGGACACTCCCCAGCGAGGTGTCAGCTGCCCTGGGCTGAGGACCCGGGCCGTTGCGGGCTCACCACATGCTCCACGTGTGTTCCTGAAGTCTGGTCCAGTAAACTGCCACCTGTGACACCAGTGCCCTCTGTATAGGCCAGGTCCTGGCTGCTCCAACTCCCTGCTAAGGCTCCTGCGAAGGCAGTGGAACAGGCCCAGTGCAAGAGCCTCTGCACCCATGTGGGAGCCCAGAGTCCTAGCTTCCTGGATTGGAATGGCTGTTGTGGCCATTTGGAGACAATGGAAGATCTCTCTCCTACGCTTGTGTCAGTGATGGGCGGCCAGGGCGCTGAGTCCTGAGGCCCACCACAGGCGTGGTAGCCCTGTACCAGCTGCCTTGTCTGGGTGCTGTTCATCACCTTGGCATAGCTCAGGAAGTCGCTGGCCCCCGGGGCCCGTCCTGGCCTCCTGCGAAGGTGCAATGACTTTAGTCTCATGGGTGTATGTAATTATGCACAAGTTTGCAACTTGCCTCTCTCGACGGCTTCCCAGGGTTCATCACCCGGAGATGCCAAGCAGCATGTACTACTGGCACAGCGAGGAGAGGGCAGAGGGAGCCCCTGTTCTCGGGGGACACGGGCACCTGCTCATGCTTATCTCTGCCTCCGCCTGGGGCGAGACATTCACCCCCCTGCCTGACCTCCAGCCCCGCCTCGCCTCTGCAAGCAGGGTGATGTGACCCACGCGCTGTCTCCGGCCGGCAGTGGCGCTCGGTGCCGGCTCCTGGGCCTGTCACCTTTGTCCTCAGTGACGGACACTCCCGCCCATGTGCAGAGGCCGGACGTCGGAGACAGATGGCCTGCCTCCGGGCCTGGCCGCTATTTTTTTCTTTTAAGATTGATATTATTTGATATTGATATTATTCAAGCAAAAAGCTTGAAAGGAAGAGATACAGAGAAGAGAGACACAACAATCTTCCATCTGCTGGTTCATTCCCCAACTGGCCAGAACAGCTGGAGCTGAGCCGATCCAAAGCCAGGAGGCAGGAGCTTCTTCCAGGTCTCCCTTGCCGGTGCAGGATCCCAAGGCTTTGGGTCATCCTTGGCTGTTTTCCCAGGCCACAGGCAGGGAGCTGGAAGGGAAGTGGAACAGCCGGGACACGAACCGATGCCCATGTGGGATGTTAGCTCAGTTGGCTAGTGCTGTACTTGCGAACGCCAGGGCCCTGGTGGGCGCTGCGCGATGTCGCAGCAGTGGGGGGCCCTGCTCTCATCTGTGGCATACCGGAAGAGTGTGTGAAGTTTTCTGGGATTTTCTTCTTCAGTGAAAGAAAGAATGGTCAGGACCATCGTTCTCTGGAACTCTGCCCTCGATGCCTGGGACCACAGCAGCTGCCTTGAGACCCCGAGGGACAAGACGGCCCCTCATGCTTCCAGGGAGACCCCACTGTTTCTCTGAGATTTCTCTATCTCAGTAAGCAAAATCATTCCCACAATGAAGAGAAGGAGGGAAATGCTCTCTTAGGGAAATGAGCTGAATATGAACACGGAGAGGTGGTGCAGAGGGGCTCAGAGGAAGCTGCCGAGGCCTAGGGCAGGGGGCGCCATCACTCGCAGCCGAAGGTCAAGGTGTCTGAAGTGGACGGAAGTGTGTGGGCGACAGCCTGGCACCTTGAACCTGCCTGGCTGGCTGGTGGCCGCTGTGCGCAGTGCCTGCTCTTGGCCCTGCCGCCGCCCACGATGAGTCATCCCGGTGAGTCGTCACTGCTAATGAGTCCCCACACAGAGCGGGCTGGAGCGGCATCCAGGGGGCAGGGCAGGGGGGCTAGGAGCAGGCCGACGGCTTCTGGACTGACCCCCTAGCAGCAGGCCGACGGCTTCTGGACTGACCCCTGGGGTGCACGGCTCTGCTGCTGCCGCTGCCCCACCGGGAGCTCTAGCTGGCCCACGAAATACCTTCACCACTCAAAACTGCCCCCCACAGAGGGGGCTTGAGGGTTTGTCCAAGTGCTATTCCCCAGAGCAGGCAGAGTGGGCACTGAGTGGGTCCACAGGGCAGAGGGGCCAGGAAGGGGCACTTGGGTCATGCGCGGAGCTGGGCGCTCAGTAACCACTGCTAGAGTGACCTTTGTATCCTGCGTGCCTCGCCTCAAGGATAAACGAGCAGCCAGACGCTGCCTGTGGCCCAGTCCAAGTGGACTTTTCTTTAATGAGTAAACATTTCTTTTTTTTTTTTTTTTAAAGATGTATCGATTTTTACTGGAAAGGCAAACATACAGAGAGGAGGAGAGACAGAAAAAGATCTTCCGTTCGTTGATTCGCTCCCCAAGCGGCCGCAATGGCCAGATCTGAGATTAATCAAAGCCAGGAGCCAGGAGCTTCCTCCAGGTCTCCCACGCGGTGCAGGGGCCCAAGGACTTGGACCATCCTCGACTGCCTTCCCAGGCACATTAGCAGGGGGCTGGATCAGGGCTGGGACTTGAACCACTTTCCATATGAAATGCCAGTGCTGCAGGTGGTGGCTTAACACGCTACACCACACGCGTATTTTTGTGATTGAAGTCTGTTCACACAGTGTAACAGTGGATCATCTTATCTGAACATCTTGGGTTGGGGCAGTAAGAAGCCAGACCCTGCAACTCCTCTGAAGACCTCTGGGCTGTGTATGTCTTACGCAGCCATGTCTTTCAGGAATGAATAAAAACCATGCCTGGCTAGGGTGGGGGATGGGGAGGGTGGAGGAAGAGTCCAATTGGTGATTCTCAACAAGGTGAGTGTCTGTCTCAAGTTGGGAGACTGATGGGCACTGTGCCATCACCGCCCGCTGCCTCCCAGGGCCTGTGTTGGCAGGGCCCGGGAGCCGGGCGCTGCAGCCCACGCTCGCAAGGCCAGCTGCCTGCTCTGCGGGTGGGTGCCTTGTTGCTACGTGGTCGGCGGTCCGTGCCACACACAGCAGCCTGCCCCTGTGCCCCGTGGCATCTCACGTCTTTATCCAGACTGCAGGCTCTCTTCGTGGTGTGGGCATGTGGTGTCTCGGATGGGCGTTAAGTCTCACACGTCGCGTGCTCCTCACACTCGTGTTTTCAGTGCCACTGAGGTGTGGGTCGGCTCAGCAGCCGTGCAGAACTCTGTCCCACAGCCAGCCAGCTCAGACCCCTCGGTGCCTCGTGCCCGGAACCGGCACCTGCGGCGTCTCTGCCCTGCCCTGGCGTGAACACAGTCCCCACGCCTCCAGCTCGCCTTCTGAGAACTGGGGCTCACTGAGTGGCAGCGCAAAGAAGGGGAAATGAAGCGGGTTTCTTGGGCGGGGGGGGGGGCACCGCTTCCCTGCCTCCTCAGCCGGACGGAAACGCGGCACGTGCCGGACAGAGGCGGCCAGAGGCCTAGGCCGGGCGCTGAGCTGTGCGTGGAAGAAGTGGCACCCTCACCATGTCCAGGTCGGCAGTCGGGCCGCTTGGGGCCCCCCGCCAGCCAGGATTCCTGCCACCGCGGGGAGTTCCAAGAACTGCAGCCCAGGAGAAGGCTGGCGGAGCTCCCAGCCCGGCTGCGGAGCGCACAGCCGTGGGG